TGGCTACTCAGGGAGGCTGAGTGGGAGGATCCCCTGGCCGTGGAAGGTCAAGGTTGTCTAGGAGCTGTGATGGCACCCCTGCATTCCAGCCTCGGGTACAGAGAGATCCCTACCCAAAAAAAAGGAGAGAAATATCATGGCACCTGGACAAGTGTTTTGCATTGTAGAATTGGATGTTTTGTTTTTAAGATTTAAAAAAGTATATATCTTCAAAACAATCAAAAATTTTGTTGGGTTTTATGATTTCATAGCTTCATTTCTCCATAGTTAATATGTCTAGAACTGTTCAATTTATATGCTCATTAGCACTGATTCCTTGCTTCGCCTTAGATGCGTTCCCTTTGGAAAAATGCTGCTTTTTGACGTATCATTATCAGCCTCCTTCCACAGGATCGTTTTTTGAAAGCAACTAAACAATATAGTCTGCAGTGACTAGATCTTGTGAATGTGAGTGAGCTCTGCTAGACTCAGCAAGGGAGATTTTTTTTTAAGGATGGGTTTTTTGGTTATTTTTTTTGTTTTAAGATGATGGGGTCTCACTCTGCCAGTGAGGAGTCTAGAGATCTGGAGTGTAGTGGCTCAATCCTCTCGCTCACTGTGTCCTCAAACTCATGGGCTCATGCAGTCCTCCTGCCCTAGCCTTCTGAGTAGCTAGTACTACAGGTGCACATTACCATGCCCAGCTGATTTTTGTATTTTCTTTTAGACAGAGTTTTGCCATGTTGCCCAGGCTTGTCTCAAACTCCTGAGCTCAAGCAGTCTGCCTGCCTCAGCTCCCAAAGTGCTGGGATTACAGGTATGAGCCACCATGCCCAGCCTAGGGAGATACTTATAATTTTAAAATATAACTTTTAATTTCTTGAAAACTAGGTTTGCAGTGCCTGGATCGCAAGTGGAGTTGTAAGTGACCTTAATGATCTCCGAAGAGTTCATCAGTTGCTTGTTTCATCTTTAACTAAAATACAGGCTGGAAAAGAAGCTCTAAGTCACTTATATAATGAAAGTGCTTCTACCATGGAGATCTTAGCTGTGCTTAAAGCCTGGGCAGAGGTTGGTATTTCTTAATTTATAACTGGAATTTTGGAAGTTGTTAATAAACACCTTAGGCCATAAACTGAAATTTACTATTTAAAAATGAACTACAAGTAAGTTCATTTTTAAGTTTAAAAATAATTCCAACATGTGATATATTTATATGTTAATATGTTGGTCAAGCATTTTAAAGAGTCTTCCGTAGTCTATTATCTCCTACTTTAAGCAGTGCCACTTATAAGCCAGAGGGACTTTACAGTAGCCAGTGGAAGTCAGCTTTTATTGAATCCTGAATTCTTGGAAATTTGGGTCTTCTCTCAACTCTGTAGCATGTAATGCTTTCTAATGCTCTTTCATAGAATGATTTTTGAATACTAAGTAGTAGTTATTTTATTTTCCAAGGATAAAGAAATCTTACAGTAAAATGCTTATTTACTTTCCTAATAAAGAAGAAAACAATATTTTTTAATTTACTATGCAATGTTTAAACATTTGCAAAAGTAGACGTAGTAGTATTTATAATGAATCTACATATACCCATCACCCAGCTTCGGCAGTGACCAAACATGACCAATCTTGGTTCACATATCATTTTTTTGGAGACAGAGTCTTGTTCTGTTGACGAGGCTGGGGTGCACTGGAGCAGTCTTGGCTCACTGCAACCTCCACCTCCCAGGTTCAAGCGATTCTCGTGTCTTAACCTCCCAAGTAGCTGGGACTGCAGGTATTCACTACCACACCCAGCTAATTTTTGTATTTTTAGTAGAGATGGGGTTTCACCGTGTTGGCCAGGTTGGTCCTGAACTCCTGACCTCAAATGGTCCACTCTCCTCTGCCTCTTAAGGTGTTGCGATTACAAGTATGAGCCACCATGCCTGGCCCAGTTCACATACCATTTTAATGAAGGTATGTAATCTCAGATTTCATCTAAGAGATTAACCAACATGTACAAAAGGGTTTCCTCCAGTAGAGGTATTTTAAACCTGAAAGTTGTAGAATCTTTATTTTTGTCATTATTTGTCACAACCTTCATTAGGAAGTAGTTGTGCCTAGATTCAATAAACTGGGTCTGGCCAGGTGCAGTGGCTCATGCTTGTAATCCCAACACTTTAGGAGCCCAAGGCAAGAGGATTACTTGAGGCCAGGAGTTCGAGATCAGCCTGGACAACATACTGAGACCCCATCTCTATATAAAATTTTAATAATAAATAAAATAGGCTGGGCACACCTGTAATCCTAGCACTTTGGGAGGCCAAGATGGGCAGATCACCTGAGATCAGAAGTTCGAGACCAGCCTGGCTAACATGGTGAAACCCCGTTTCTACTGAAAATACAAAAAATTAGCTGGGCATGGTGGCGCACGCTGGTAATCCCAGCTACTCGGGAGGCCGAGGCAGGAGAATTGTTGAACCCGGGAGGCAGAGGTTGCAGTGAGCTGAGATCGCACCATTGCACCCCAGCTTGGGGAACAAGAGCGAAATTGCGTCTCAAAAATAAGAAAACAAATAAATAAAATAGCCTGGGCGTGGTGGCTCACACCTGTAATCCCAGCACTTTGGGAGACTGAGGCAGGCAGATTACATGAGGTCAGGAGTTCAAGACCAGCCTGGTCAACATGGTGAAACCCAATCTCTACTAAAAAATACAAAAGCCAGCCAGGCATAGTGGTGCACGCCTGTAATCCCAGCTACTTGGGAGGCTGAGGCAGGAGAATTGCTTGAACCGGGGAGGTGGAGGTTGTAGTAAGCTGAGATGGCACCACTGCACTCCAGCTTGGGTGACAGAATGAGACTTCTTCTCAAAAAAAATAAAAATAAAATAAAATAGACTGGATCTAAATCCTGTGCTTTTGCTTAAGCCTGTTACCTCCTCATGTTACTTCTTCAGTAAAGATAAATAATGACTGACCAATATATATCTGGGAAGTCTAGGGCAATACCATAGAATCTATAATCAGACACATTCATGTTTGAATATTCATACTGTTTTGTGTATATAGATATAAATGGCCTCACATAAGTTCTTCAGTTTTGCCACCAGATTAGTTTGCCCAAAACTTAGGTTTTTTCAGAGCTTTTTGGATTTTAGAGTTGTAGATAAAGGAATAGTGCATGTTATACACTGTGTTGCATACTTTAACATTCTATAATCCATGTTAAATCTATTTGTGTACACTTTGTAGAGATTTAGTGATACGTTTGAATGAAAATATTTTCAGTATTTCAGTTAAGAGATGGCTACCTGTAGCCGTGTGTTAAGATGGATTATTAGGCCATACCAGGCTTAGTGAGAAAGAGTGCCGTGATATAGTATTATGATTGTAAATATGAGAAGTGGCATCATATTTACCAGATATTTGTTATCCCTAATGCATCTCATTGAAGATAGTATTTTTGACTCTTTCTACCCCAGTTTTCTGTGTGTAGTTACACAGACAGGCCTTCTTGATATCACAGTGCATTTCAAGTCCAGTATGCTCAAAGGTAAGTCTGCCTCTTCAGGAAAATATAAACATTTTATAGTACCTTTTCAGCAGATAAAAGATTTCCTGTTTTTAAATTAACCTTTAACAGGTCTACATAATTGCTGTGCAAAGACATAAAAACCACAGACAACCTCTGAAGACTACCAGCTGTTTAGAGGACAGTATCAGAAATGGATCATGTTCATCAGATGGACTTCTTGACTTAGTCTATGCAGATCTTGGCACACTAAGCAGACTCTGGCTTGCTGCACTTCAGGATTTTGCTCTTTTAACTTTGCCTTCAGAATTTGCCTCCCAACTTCCTGCTGAAGGTAAGGAGGTAAAATACTTAGATAATTCCTAGAGTGACAGTAACACATTTTCTTTTTTTTTTTTGAGACAGGGTCTTACTTTGTTTCCCAGGCTGGAGTGCATTGGTGCAATTTTGGCTCACTGCAATCTCTGCCCCCTGGGCTCAGGCAATCCTCCCACCTCAGCCTCACAAGTAGCAAGGACTACAGGCATACACCACCACGACCAGCTAATTTTTGTGCATTTCGCAGAGATGGGATTTTACCTTGTTGCCAGGCTATTCTCAAACTTATGTAATCCCAGCAATTCGGGAAGCTGAGGTGGGCGGATCACTTGAAGTCAGGAGTTCGAGACCAGCACGGCCAACATGGTGAAACCCCGTCTCTACTAAAAACGCAAAAGTTAGCCAAGTGTGGTGGCGAGTGCCCGTAATCCCTGCAACTCGGGAGGCTGAGGCAGGAGGATTGCCTGAACCTGGGAGGCAGAGGTTGCAATGAGTTGAGATCGTGCCTCTGCACTCCAGCCTAGGTGAAAAGAATGAGACTCTGTCTCAAAAAAAAAAGAAAGGCTACACCCACCAGCAACTTGTTTTCATTTCTCCACACTGTATTATCATACTTAATAATTTTTGCCAATCTGATGGCTATGAAATATTTCATTGCTTTATTTTCTTATTTCCTTGATTAAGAGTCTTTAAGTTGCTTCTTCCATAAATAATTTAGTCATAATCTTTGCCCATCTGCTATTTGGTATTTATTTTGTTATAAGATACAATGAATCTTTCTGAGTTTTTCTTCAAAAGGTTTAGCCTGTTAACTTCCTTACCCTTTGTTCTCAAACTCAACTTTCTTGTTTCTCCTTGCCTCTAGTTACTGTAAACACCCTACCCCCTTCCCGTCAGTTTTAATTGATAACTCACATCTGTTCCTTTGGTTACCTGTACCCATTGTTCCGAAACTGCACGTCCCAGTTGCTCCACCACTGGACCTCATGTCCCCCTCCCTTCCATATTTAGAAAAATATTTACAAGTAGCCAGTCGGGTCAGCTCAGATTGTGCAGTCCAACCCCAGCCCATGGGGGAAGAACACAGAGATACAGATCGCATTAAGGATATAAAAACCCCCTTGTCTCCTTTGTTCCGTGTGCACTTGCAATCTTAATTGGCGCGAGTGACACCCTTTTGCAAAAGTAAATTGCCTTGCTGAGGAAACTTAAATAATATCTGAGTGCTGTTTCTTTTGCAGCATCAGAAATTCATTTATAACAATTATTTTCGGTCGGGCGCAGTGGCTCAAGCCTGTAATCCCAGCACTTTGGAAGGCCGAGGCGGGTGGATCACGAGGTCAGGAGATCGAGACCATCCTGGCTAACACAGTGAAACCCCGTCTCTACTGAAAAATACAAAAAACTAGCCGGGCGAGGTGGCGGGCACCTGTAGTCCCAGCTACTCGGGAGGCTGAGGCAGGAAAATGGCATAAACCCAGGAGGCAGAGCTTGCAGTGAGCTGAGATCTGGCTACTGCACTCCAGCCTGGGTGACAGAGCGAGACTCCGTCTCAAAAAAAAAGACAATTGTTTTCTTCCTGATTGTGTAATCCTTTATATATATACACAACACTATTCCTTTGTGGTTTCATGTCTTACAAGTGTTTTCTCTCAGTCTGTAACTTGTCCTTTTCTTTTACCTTTTTTAAACTAATGGAAGTTTGGTGTGATGTAGTACACCTGTAGTCCCAGCTACTCAGAAGGCTGATGTGGGAAGATCCCATGAGCCCAGGAGTTGGAGGCTGCAGGCAGCTATGATTGTGCCACTGCACTCCAGTCCGGGTGACCGAGCAAGTCCCTCTCTTTAAAAAAAAAAAAAATTTTGGGGTGTGTTCTGTGTTTTTTGTGTTTTGTTTTTGTATGTTACCACATACATTTTTAAATTTAAGATCATAAAGATATATAAGCTTTACAGTTTTGCCTTTTACATTTGAACTTTGGTAGAACTGGAATTTATTTTGTGTGTGTGGAATAGGGATAGGGTTCTTATTTTTAGTCAGTTACTAATACTGCATTTTATGGGTTGGTTACTTTGTAGCCACTCTTAATCTTCTTCATGTTATTCCAAAATGCCTTAGCTATCATTGTATTTTTACTTTTTGAAATGAATTTTAGGAAGAGTCTGTAAAGTTCTACTAGTTTTGTGTGTGTGTATTTGGTTTGTTTGTGTGTTTTTAGAGACAGGGTCCTGCTGGGTTGCCCAGGCTGGAGTTACAATGACTGTTCACAGGAGCAATCATAGTGCACTACAGCTGGGCCTCAAGTGATCCTCCCACCTCACCCTCTAAGCAGCTGGGACTATGGTGTACACTATGGTGCGCCTAGTCCTATTAGAATTTCGTTGGAATTATTATACAAAAAGATATGGTGGAGTGATGTTGTACTTTTCAGTAGCATTAAAATTGAAACAGTGAAAATAAAGCTGATTTACTTACACAAACAGAAAAATGAATGACAGACCATATAGGCAACTGTAAGTAAATCTTAAAAACAAATGTTAAGTGAAAAAATATGTTATTTATTTATTTTGAGACAGAGTCTTGCTCTGTGACGCAGTCTGGAGGGCAGTGGCTTGATCTCAGCTCACTGCAACCTCCACCTCCTGGGTTCAAGCGATTCTTCTTGCCTCAGCGCTCCCAAGTAGGCGGTAGGCACTAAGGGACGCCAGCTACTTTGGCTGTATCTTTTATAGAGAAGGGTTTCTACATGTTGTAGCCAGGCTGTCGATCTCTCCGTGACCTCCAGGGTGGATCTGCCTGCCCTCACGCCTCCCACAGTGCTGGATTTACAGGCATGGAGCCACCGTGCACTAGACAGAAGAAAATAACAGGATGCATGTAAGCCAGGATGGTAGTACATGCTGGGCTAGTCTCCGAGGCTACTCAGGAGGCTGAAGTGGAAGGGTCACTTGAGCTCAGGAGTTCAGGGCCAACCTGGACAACATAGTGAAACCCCATCTCCAAAAAAAAAAAGGATACATACGGTGTGATGCCTTTTAAGTAAACTTTTAAACACACAAAAAAATAGCATATGTTATTAATGAATGCATAGATTATTGTGAAAGTATAAGACCATATCTAGGAGTCATTCTTACTGGCTTGAGGAAAGTAGTCATGGAAGGAGGGGCAAGAATTAGTGGTATAACAGTTTTAGGTTTTTCAAGGCAAAAATTGGCCAGGCGCGGTGGCTCACACCTGTAATCCCAACACTTTAGAAGGCCGAGGTGGGCGGATTGTCTGAGCCTAGGAGTTCAAGACCAACCTGGGCAACGTGGTGAAACCCCATCTCTACTAAAATACAAAAAATTAGCCAGGCGTGGTGGTGCACACCTGTGGTCCCAGCTACTCAGGAGGCTGAGGCGGGAGAATTGCTTGAACCCAGAAGTTGGAGGTTGCAGTGAGCCGAGATCTCGCCACTGCATTCCAGCCTGGGTGACAGAGTGAGATTCCATCTGAAAAAAAAGAGAAAAAAATTAAGAGAGATTTAAAAAGAAAATCAGGGAAAATGTTAATGTTCCATCTTGGAAGTGGGTAAATGGGTATTGGTATTTATTTTAATCACACATATACACATATTTTGTTTTTAAATGTTTATGATTAAATTATAAAAAGTTACAAATTAGGCTGAAAACTTTTTATGAAGTTAAAAGTAGATGAGTCCTATGACCTATCAGTTGTACTTCCAGTAAAAATAAGAACGTTGATAACAGAATACTGATAACATAGCAACATGAATGAATCTCTAAAAATGTTGTTAGGTTATTTTGTTAACAAAATATTAGTCGCAAATAAGTACATGTGAATATGTGATTCTATTTATATGAAGTTGAAGAGTAGGCAAAACTAATCTGTGCTGATAAAAACTGGAAAGTAGTTGCCTTAGGGTATAGGGAACTGACTGAAAAAGGGTATGAGGGAACTTTCAGAGTGATGGAAATGGTCTATATCTTGTAACAGAAAAAAGAGAAAATACATTGGCAGCTAATCTCTTATTTCTCCTGAAACTGTTTGCTTTAGGCGGTGCTTTCTACACAGCAGAGACTAGTGAAAATGCAAAATTGCAGTATTACAACTCCTGGGCACTTATCCTCCATGCTACGGCATTATGGCTTACAAGCACGGGCTTTGTTGTTGCTGACCCAGATGAAGGAGCATCTGATCTCTCCAGGCCTGTAACACCAACTTCCATGTGTCAGGGTTCATCTTCTGGGGCTACCATAAAGTCCCCTGAGGATGTCTATACTGATAGATTCCATCTGATTTTAGGTCAGTTAAATCACTTATAGAAGTTTACAACCCTCGGGTTTTTTTGTTTTTTTTTTTTTTTTGATATGGAGTTTCACTCTTTTGCCCAGGCTGGAGTGCATTGGCACGATTTCAACTCAAGCTCACAATTATTGTCAATTAAAAATATAAATATAAATAAATTACTTGAGCTCTCTGCTCATTTATCTCAGAATTAGTGTCAATAATAGTGCCTACTTTGTCAACTGTTACGATAATTTAATAAAAAGATGTATGTCAAAGCACAATGACTGATACGTGATGATCACCCAATAAATTTTAGCCAAAGTAAAGTTGTAAAACTCCATATGTTTTCTGGTGCAATTTTATTGTAATTTTTGCAGCTTTGAACTGTTTCATAGCAACTAAGCAACTAGTGCACAGGCCTAGTTTAGTTTTTTGGGTTTTTTTTTTGTTTTTTTTTTTTATTGAGACAAGAGTTTTGCTCTTGTTACCCAGGCCAGAGTGCAATGGAGCAGTCTCAGCTCACCACAACCTCTGCCTCCTGGGTTCAAGCGATTCTCCTGCCTCAGCCTCCCGAATAGCTGGGATTACAGGCATGTGCCACCATGCCCAGCTAATTTTGTATTTTTAGTCGAGACGGGATTTCTCCATGTTAGGCTGGTCTGAAACTCCCAACCTCGGGTGATCCACCACGCCCAGCATAGATTATTCTTCTTGTACATGTAGATAGAAACAAACTATTAAGTGACTTGTCTTGTCATTTAGTTGTTTAGTCTTATATTCATTGTGATTTATTTGTATTACCTTTTTACTGTTTGTTTATATATCTTACCAAAATATAAGATTAATTACTTAATTTCATAAACTAATAATTTGAAAGAAGCCTCCTCCTCTTTTTTTGCTTTCCACAGGAATCAGCGTGGAATTTCTATGTTCCTTGCGTTCAGATGCAACCATGGAAAGCATAACTGCTTGTTTACATGCATTGCAAGCCCTTCTAGATGTACCTTGGCCCAGATCAAAAATTGGCAGTGATCAGGTGATTTATCTGGGGTTTTTTTTTGTAAGGCTTCTGTAGACTTTAAGGAAGAGAAACATGTTCAGGTTTCTATAGTTAACAGAGAGTAAACACAGAGAAATTTTTTTTTAAAACCATACGGCCACACAGCTAGGCCTTGGAACCAGAATGCCATAAGCGTATGTGTTGACCCAGAAACAATCATGCCTCTGACTCTGCCACTTTTCTGTCTCTGCTGCTTTCTGCAATGATGGGAGAGTTCTATATTGCATTCTCCAGGACAGTAGCCACTAATTACATGTGGCATTTATTCTTTGTGTCTTTTTGCTTCTGCATACCCTGCTCTTTGTGTATATACCTGTATCTTATATTCCATTCCCCAAGAGAGAATCTAATGGGTTCATGTAGTTACTGTCCATTACAAAGTATTCCTGTTGGCTGAGTTCTCCCTCTAGGTCTTTTTAAGAGATTGCTGGCTAATCTTTAGATGGAGTCAGGCACTAATATCTGACTTGGGTGTGGCCATGGGAAAAGGGTTCCTGTACAAAGTATGGTACTTCCCTTTGACTGCTTTTCTCAAGGGCAAGTATGCATTGGGCAGATACTTTTGATATCATGTTTTATCTAGTATATTTCTTTTGTTATTGACTCCTGGATGTTGAGATAAGTGAGTAGTATAATTTCTTCTGCATAGACTGTCTATTATTTAAGTGTTTAATGCTATTATTAGGTTTAAAGCATTAATCAGGTTGAGACAGGGTTTCACCATGTTGGCCAGGCTTGATCTCGAACTCCTGGCCTCAAGTAATCCACCCACCTCGGCCTCCCAAAGTGCTGGGATTGCAAGCATGAGCCACTGTGCCTGGCCTCTGACATTGATTTAAAATGGAGCAAGTGTTACTTAACTTTATTGCACTAAAGCAATTTGTTACATTCTCTTTTACTGAATTTTGTCATGGCATTTAGCATTGGTATTTTTACAAAAAAAAAAAATGTATAATTTCTAATACAGTGTCCTCTATATGATTTCTATGATAGGACTTGGGTATAGAATTACTGAATGTTCTACATCGAGTAATTTTAACCAGAGAATCACCTTCCATTCAGTTGGCTTCACTTGAAGTGGTAAGGCAGATTATCTGTGCTGCTCAAGAACATGTGAAGGAAAAAAGACGAAGCGCAGAAGGTAAATGTTAACCTTTAGTGCCGAGTTGATCAAATAGCATCATTCTTTTGTAAAGTATTGTTTAATGTATCTTTATAGTTTTGATCATCTTTTGTGTGTAGTACAAATAAAACATGTCTAGGCATGGCCTTGTTTTACTTTTTGTGCTCTGCACATTCAGAGAAACTTCCCTAGTAATAAACTATAGAAATGATCCCTGAAAGTAGAGTCTTTAAGCATGGCTTTATTTATTTGTTTATTTATTTAGTGAGACAAGGTCTCACTCCAGTTGCCCAAACTGGAGTGCAGTGGCATGATCTCGGCTCACTGCAGCCTCGACCTCCCAGGCTCAGGTGATTCTCCCACCTTAACCTCCTGAGTAGCTGGGACTACAGGCACATGCCACCATGCCTGGCTAATTTTTTTGTATTTTTTAGTAGATACAGGATGTGGCCATGTTGCCCAGCCTTGTCTCTCGAACTCCTAGACTCAGGCAATCCACTCACCTTGGCCTTCCAGAGTGCTGGGATTACTGGCATGAGCCATCATGCCCAGCCTGGCATGGTTTTAAATCCTCTCATTCACCTCTGCATGTTAGTTTAGATATCGTCAGTAGTTAAACTACTATTCTCTGGGTGAAATGAGAATTTTAACAAAACCTGGAAGAAATAAATCCCTTACACTACTCGAGTACTTGCTTTAGTTATGTTTACCAGTGTGCATGGAAAGAACTTATGTTTTCAGATTGCTCATTTACAAGTCTAATATGGTATTGGAGAGTTTACCACTTAAGATTATAGTTGGCTACATATTATAGAAAACCCAATATAACAGTGGATTTAAACCCCAAAGATTTATTTGCTCTTCTAAATAGGTGGCCAGAGATAGAGAGTCTAGGGCTGATATGGCACCTTCTTAAAGACATTAAGGACGTGACTTTCTTCCTGTCCAGCCACCATCGATACCTAAGATCACATGGTAATTTCTGGAGCTCTAGCTGTCAGGTTTACAGTCTTAACAGCAAGAAGGAGTTAACCAGGCAATATTATAAGACTGACAGGATTAAAAAGACTTCTTTTGACCAATTGCAATAGGAAGTCATAATAAAGATGATTACTTTTCCCTTCATAACTTCTTTCTCTCTTAGTCTTTCACACCCAAAATTTAGTCATTAAATATATTTCCAAGCCGGGCGCGGTGGCTCACACCTGTAATCCTGGCACTTTGGGAGGCCGAGGCGGGCAGATAGCTTGAGGTCAGGAGTTCAAGACCAGCCTGACCAACATGGTGAAACCTCATCTCTACTGAAAATACAAAAATTAGCCGGGCATGGTGGTGCATGCCTGTAATCCCAGTTACTCGGGAGGCTGAGGCAGGAGAATCGCTTGAAACTGGAAGGCAGAGGTTGCAGTGAGCCGAGATCATGCCATTGCACTCCAGACCGGGTGACAGAGTTAGACTCAGTCTCAAAAAAATAAAATAAATGTATTTCCTGTAACAGGATTTAACTAAATTGCCATCTACCAGAAGCAAAGCAAGCACAAAGTATTTATTAAACACTGTTCTTTCTGTCTTTTAGTTGATGATGGGGCTGCTGAAAAGGAAACTCTGCCAGAGTTTGGAGAGGGAAAGGACACCGGAGGACTTGTACCTGGGAAGTCTTTGGTCTTTGCAACACTAGAATTGTGTGTATGCATTCTAGTTAGACAGCTCCCAGAATTAAATCCTAAATTGACAGGTAGCCCAGGAGTGAAAGCTAGGAAGCCACAGATGCTATCAGAAGATGGAAGTAGATTGGTTTCAGCTGCGTTGGTTATCCTTTCCGAACTTCCTGCAGTGTGCTCTCCTGAAGGTATGCTGTGGTATGTGATTGCTTGACTTGACCTAGAAGAGAAATGGTTTTAATAGGTAATGGAGTCTAGTTGCTAATCTTTTTCTTTTTAAATGAATGCTGACCCAAACATTTGAGTATTGTCTTTAATCCTCTAAGATTAGGATTACATTTTAATAAATTGTTTTACTAAAAGTAAAAATATAGAGGGCCAGGCGCAGTGGCTCACGTCTGTAATCCCAGCACTTTGGAAGGCCAAGGTGAGTGGATCGCCTGAGGTCAGGAATTCGAGACCAGCCTGACCAACATGGTGAAACCCCGTCTCTAGGAAAAATACAAAATTAGCCAGACGTTTTGGCACATGCCTATAATCCCAGAGGCTAAGGCAGGAGAATCGCTTGAACCTGGGAGTTGGAGGTTGCAGTGAGCCAGGATCATGCCATTGCACTCCAGCCTGGGCAACAAGAGTGAAATTACGTCTGAAAAAAAAAAAAAGAGAGAGAGAGTGAAAATATAGAGATAGCAAGTATTATAAATAGATATGCTCTTCTATGATTGACAGTACTTCAGTCAGTGGCAATTATTAGTGCTTGGGCATGTTTTGGTATACAATTTCTAACAGACTTTTCCTGCCTCAGTGATGGCAGAAGTTTGTCATTGTATCTGGTTCTGTTTGGAATTGACTCCATACTCTTTGTTGTTGTTGTTTGTTTGACACAGGTACTTTCTCTGTCACCCAGGCCAGAGTGCAGTGGAACAATCATAGTTCACTGTAACCTTAAACTCCTGGGCTTAAGCAATCCTCCTGCCTTCGCCTCCTGAGTAGTTAGGACTCAGGCCTGTGCCACCATACCTGGCTAACTTTTTTTTTTTAAATTTTTTGTAGAGATGGGGTCTTGCTGGGTTGCCCAGGCTGGTCTTGACCTCCTGGCCTCAAGTGATCCTCCCTCCTTGGCATCCCAAAGTGCTGGGACTACAGGTGTGAGCCACCATGCCCAGCAAGTTCATACTCTTTAACATGGCATTTAAGGCTCTCTGTGTAGCTCTGCTAAGTCGTTACCTTTTTTCAGTTCCTTCTTTGCAAATCCTAAACCCAAGAGGCTTCATGTTCATCCTAGTTCTGTACTACCATGTCATTACTTGATCGAAATGACCCTTATCTGCTTTTAAAAATTTTTCTTTCTTCATGGTTCAACTGCAGGCCTACTTCAGGTATAAAGGCTTCTCTAAAAACTCTAGCTCATCTGAGTTTTGTTTTTTCATGTATATGCATGTGTTACTTCCATATGTAGGTCTGTAGCTTTTTTTTTTTTTTGAGACGGAGTCTGGCTCTGTCGCCCAGGCTGGAGTGCAGTGGCTGGATCTCAGCTCACTGCAAGCTCCGCCTCCCAGGTTCACGCCAGTCTCCTGCCTCAGCCTCCCGAGTAGCTGGGACTACAGGCGCCCGCCACCTCACCCGGCTAGTTTTTTGTATTTTTTTAGTAGAGACAGGGTTTCACCGTGTTAGCCAGGATGGTCTCGATCTCCTGACCTCATGATCCACCCGTCTCGGCCTCCCAAAGTGCTGGGATTACAGGCTTGAGCCACCGGGCCCGGCTGGTCTGTAGCTTTTATCTGTCCTACAAAGGCATTATATGTAATTGAGTATTACATATAAAAGAGAATTGTCGGCCGGGTGCGGTGGCTCATGCCTGTAATCCCAGGCTGAGGCGGGTGGATCACAAGGTCAGGAGATCGAGACCATCTTGGCTAACATGGTGAAACCCCATCTCTATTAAAAATACAAAAATTTAGCCGGGCGTGGTGGTGGGCGCCTGTAGTCCCAGCTACTGGGCAACAGAGTGAGACTCCGTCTCAAAAAAACAAAAAAGAAATGTTTTGTTTCCAATTAAAATTGTATATTCTGTGAAATCTAGCAGATTATAGGTATTTAGTACTTAGTAGATACTTCTTAATTGGTAAACATATTTCTGCTAAAGGTGTTTTTTCGTTTTTTGTTTTTTGAAATGGAGTCTGGCTGTGTCACTCAGGTTGGAGTGCAGTGGCACGATCTGGGCTCACTGCAACCCTGCCTCCCAGGTTCAAGCAGTTCTTCTGCTTCAGCCTCCCAAGTGTCTGGGACTACAGGCGCGCACCACCACGCCTGGCTAATTTTTGTATTTTCAGTAGAGACGGGTTTCACCATATTGGCCAGGCTGGTCTCGATCTCCTGACCTCATGATCCACCCGCCTTGGCCTCCCAAAGTGCTGGGATTACAGGCGTGAGCCACCGCACTCAGCCGCTAAAGGTGTTATTTTTTTGTTGGTTGGTTTTTTTTTTAGACAGGGTCTCACTCTATGCCCAGGCTGGAGTTCAGTGGTACAATCTCAGCTCACTGCAGCCTCAACCCCCTGGACTCAAGCAGTCCTCCCACCTCAGCCTCCTAAGGCGCACACCACCGTCCCAGCTTTTTTTTTTTTTTTTTTAGATGAAGTCTCACTGTGTTGCCCAGGCAACATTGTGAATGTACTTAATGCCACTGGATTATACACTAAAAATGGTTAAAATGGTAAACTTTATGTTGTATATATTTTACCACAATAAAAGATAAATAAAAATAAGTTCATTTATCAACTGCCAAATAAAACGAAAACAGCAAAAGCATGATACTCATACAATTTAAACATCATCTCCAGTTATAACCATCAAGATTTAATCCATCCTTAAAAATTTTAATAAAGCTACTTACATTATCTTAACAGTTACAGTTCTTTATTAGAAATCATCTTTTAAAAACTAAAAATCTGATATTATCTTACTCCTTGATGATTTGTTTTTAGGAACCATATATACATAGGTTGAAATGCAGTGTGTTTTTAAAAAATTTATCTTACAGGAAGCATCTCAATTCTCCCTACTATACTGTACCTCACAATTGGGGTCCTCAGAGAGACTGCTGTGAAGTTACCGGGGGGCCAGTTATCCTCGACGGTTGCAGCTTCCCTACAGGCTCTGAAAGGAATCTTATCTTCTCCCATGGCACGGGCAGAAAAGAGCCACACTGCTTGGACTGACCTTCTCCGAAGTGCTTTAACAACAGTTCTTGACTGTTGGGATCCAGGTAATTGAGGCTATTTGGAAGCAGTTCAGTTTGTTTTAAAAAGTGAGAAAAAGAGTGTTTTGAGGATATTTTACTTGATTTTATTTGGCCATATCACCTAGAAGAGACCATATTCAATACTATGTGTTTAGAGGATACGTATAAGTAGATAGAAAATTGGCCAGGCGCAGTGGCTCACACCTGTAATCTCCGCACTTTGGGAGGCCAAGGCAGGTGTATCACCTGAGGTCAGGAGTTCGGGACCAGCTGGGCAACATGGTGAAACCCCATCTCTACTAAAAATACAAAAACCAGCTGGGTCTGGTGGCACACGCCTATAATCCCAGCTACCCAATGCTGTCTCAGCTACTCGGCTATGACAGAAGAATTGCTTGAACCCTGGAGCTGGAGGTTGCAGGGAGCCAAGATCACGCCACTGCACTCCATCCTGGGCAACAGAGTGAGACTCCGTCTCAAAAAAAAAAAAAAAGAAAAAGAAAGAAAGCTGTGTTCTGGGGCCGGGCGCGGTGGCTCACGTCTGTAATCCCAGCACTTTGGGAGGCTTGAGGTCAGGAGTTCAAGGCCAGCCTGGCCAACATGGAGAAACCCCATCTCTACTGAAAATACAAAAATTAGCCAGGTGTGGTAGTGCACGCCTGTGATCCCAGCTCTCGGAAGGCTGAGGCAGGAGGCAGGAGAATTGCTTAAACCCAGGAGGCAGAGCTTGTAGTGAGCCAAGATCGTGCCACTGCACTCCAGCCTGGGTGACAGAACAAGACTCTTATCTCAAAAAAATAAAATTAAAAAGCTGTGTTCCGATTTTAGCGTCTTTAACCCTTAATGCTGTTAAATGACAGGCAACCTACACACTGACAGTGAAAGACCTTCAGATATAATAGTGTGTTTAGTAAAAAAATAATGGAGTATGATCCATGTCTAGCCAATGGAAGTTTTTAATACACACAGTATACTGAAAAGTACATAAGCCATACAAAAAGACCAATCTGGTTCACCATGCCAGCATTTACTAAGTGACTAGTCAAGTTATTCAGTTTTTCTGCACCTTAGTTTTGTTATTAATAAATAGGAATATTATGTTGCAAGAAATTGTTAGAGCAATAACTTAATATGTGAAAAGCATCTCACTTATTACCTGGCATATATCAATAAATGATAGCCAGTATTATTTTCAACATCTGTTAAAACTTGTTTATCGCTGGGTGTGGTAGCTCACACCTGTAATACTAGCTACCCCGGAGGCTGAGGCAGGAGAATCGCTTGAACCCGGGAGGCAGAGGTTGCAGTGAGCCAAGGTTGTACCACTGCACTCCAGCCTGGGGGACAAAGCGAGACTCTGTCTCAAAAAAAAAAAATTTCTCTTTTCAATAGTATGTTGTAGTGATTATAAAAAGTCTTTATACACATTATACATTTTCCCTGCCTTCCCAGTTTTGTTTATAAATGTCACAATTTGCCGTATTTCATTTTACATATAAAATGTTTTCAATTGAAATCAGCATTTATTGACCACCCACTTTGCCCAAAGTTGGGAATATAGTGGAGTCTGGCTCCTATAAATTGCTGTTGGGTGTGATTATTACCTTAAGAATTTCCCAAAGGCAATAGTCATGTCTTAATTATCACTGCATTTCTAGTACATTAAAAAAAAAATTATAACTGGTTTTTTTTTTATTTAAATGGGAGTACTTGGTACTGATTAAGTGAAATCAGGCAGAGTGTTACAAGTAGGATTCTCTAAAAGTACTCACTGAGTGGGAGTTTGGGGAGCAAGAAGTTTATTAAGAAGCAACATCTGTGAGGGAAAAGGGGAAGGCAATATTAGGCAAAAGAAGTCAAACTGTGACAGTTTCCCAACAAATCTCAGTAAATCCGTCTGAGGAACTCTGGAGCCAGATTGCCCATCAGAGTGTCTGAACATATGACAGAAATGGCCTGGCCTTCAAATGTGGGCTGTTCCAGGAAGGATTTGATCTCAGGTAAGATAGCTATCTCTAGCTGAGGCTGACCCAGAAGGAGCTGACCCTTGATCACGCTTCCCACAGCTGGGCAGCACATTTTCCCTTGAAGGGGATGTCAGTGGTGCATCTCTGGATCCACCATTAAGGCTTCTCAGAAGAGTCAACATCTTAAAGGATTAGAAAGTTTTCTCCACATGGACATCATAGAAATGGATTCTAGGAATCGCTTGAACCTGGGAGGTGGAGATTGCAGTGTGAGCCAAGATCGCACCTCTGCACTCCAGCCTGGGCGACAGAACAAGACTCTGTCTCAAAAAAAAGAAAAAAGAAAAAAAGAAAGAAATGGATTCTAGGTACAACAGTTTGACTAAAAACTTGGAGAATTAAATAGCTAAGGAAGGCAAGTAGAACAATGAGGGGGTGTGGATTTGGGTGGAAGATTATGTAAGAGTGGTAAATGGCAATTAGTAGGGAAATAAATTAAGTTGGATGGTACATGGGGCCAGATTATGGAGTGTTTGGCACGATTTGGACTGCCTTTAATAGGCATGTGGAATCATGAAATGGTTTTTTGTTGTTGTTGTTTTTGAGATGGAGTCTCGCCCTGTTGCCCAGGCTGGAGTGCAATGGTGCAATCTCAGCTCACTGCAACTTCCGCCTCCCGGGTTCAAGCGATTCTCCTGCCTCAGCCTCCTGAGTAGCTGGGATTACAGGTGCGCGCCACCAGGCCAGGCTAATTTTTGTTTTTCGTATTTGTAGTAGAGACAGGGTTTCACCATGTTGGTCAGGCTGGTCTCAAACTCCCGACCTCGTGATCCGTCCACCTCAGCCTCCCAAAGTGCTGAGATTACAGGCATGAGCCATTGTGTCCCGGCTGAAAGGGTTTTAAGAAGGAAAGTAATGTGCTTGGATTTGCGTTTCTAAAGGTTCACTCTTGGCAGCAGTGTAAAGAAGAAAGCCAAACTGTAGGAGATAAGATAATGTTAGTACGGACAAAGAGGAGTAGAATGATGAAAAGTAAAATGTTAAGCAGTTTTCCACAGAACTTACTGATAGTTTGATTTAGGAGTTGAAAGGGTAGGATGACTTGAACACTCAAATGTGATTAACAGAAATAACCGAGTGAGGGTTTTTAGGACAAGATAGTGAGTTGATTTTGAAATGCCTAGAGGATAGTCAAATGGAACAGATGGGTAGAGGTATGGAATTCAAGAAAGTAGTCTGGGCTAGAGATACTTTCTGGACTATATATGTATTTGGGAGTTGTCAGTGTAACCTATGGGACAATTGAAATCACCCAGCTTGAGTTTCTGGAGCAAGAAGAGGATCAAAAGCAAGGTGAGAGGAGATTCAGAAGATAATGTAGTTACAGAAGCCAGTTTTTAATAAAAAGGGAGTGGTCAGCACTATAGAATACTGTAGAGAGGCCAAACAGTGTGGGGGATAGAGCTCACAGTGTTGAGGCACAAATGAGAGGTGTAAGGAATGAGAAGGATCAGGTATAGCTTCTCTTCACAGGAAGAAGAGAAATAGCTAAACGGAAAGTGTAAGGTCAAGGGATAACTTTTTTTAAAGATGACATTCAAGCATGAGTTCATACTTACAGGGCAAAAAAGGAGGTGGACATGTGGTTGGAGTTAGAAGTATTAGAAAGGAAAGCAGCATCCCTGTCTAGGCAGAAGGAATAAAATTTACAGTACATTTAAAAGGATTGACCTCTGCCAATATGAGGAAAGAACAGGAGGTGAGGATAGAAAATAGTATTATAGCTACAAGTTTTTAGGTTGAGGGCTGGCCAGTGTGGCTCACGCCTGTAATCCCAGCACTTTGGGAGGCCATGGCGAAAGGACTGCTTGAGGCCAGGAGTTCAAACCATGTGGGCAACATAGCAAGATACTGTCTCTACAAATAATAATAATAATTCATGTTGAGGGTTATGATGAGCTTGCCTCTTTCATCTCACACACACAAAAAATGGGTTGTGTATTTTTTATTGTTGTTGTTTTTGTTTTTGGATGTGTATCAGGGAATTAGGCTAGGACAGGATTTAGACTAGCTACTGAGAGAAATTAAGGAGTTGATCATGACAGGTCAAATGTTTGCTGCCTAACAAATTGCCTCAAAACTTAGTGGCTTAAAAGAGCAAACATTTATTATCTGACAGTTTCTATGGGTCCAGGATTAGGAGCAGTTTAGCTATGTGGTTCTAGCTTAGGTTCTCTCATGAAATTACTGTTAAGGTGTTGGCCAGGGCTGCAGCTAGAGGATTCATTTCCAAGATGACTCATTCATATGGCTATTGGCAAGAGGCCTCAGTTCTTACCACACAGGCTTTTCACAGGCTAATGCTAAGCAAATTATGCATCTATCATAGGTAAAAGTAGGAATAAAGAGATTTTAGAAGAAAAGGTAAAAGGAACCCAGGAGAACTTTATCTTACTGAGAATAAAGGCATTTTTACTAAACAAATTAGCTGACTCTGTTGCAGTTTCAAGTTGCTATAGGTGGTTAAAAATAACTTTGCTGTAAGGGAAGCAGCATAGCATTATAGTTAACAGTACACTCTCTGTAATCAAACTTTCTGCCTTACTAATTGTGTGACTCGGACAAATGACTACATTTCTGTTTCTCATCCATAAAATAAGGGATATGAGTACCTACCTCATGTTGCTGTTATGTTGATTAAATATTTAATGTGTATAAAGTGCTTATAGCAGTGCTACATGTTAATGTTAAATATTAACTGTGTACTTGTTTTACCTTAAAATCATTCAGATGTCTTTTATAAAATAAATCCTATTCATCCATAAAATTTTGCTTTCACTGCTACTGTGCCTCTTGAGTATCGTCAACTCTGATATTATCTCCTCAAGGCTTTCTCAGTATAGACTGTCCTGGGCTACTTTGAATATTGTTTGTTTGTCTGTTTGTTTGTTTAAAGGGACAGGGACTTGCTGTGTTGCCCAGGCTGGAGTGCAGTGTCTATTCACAGCCACAATCATTGTGCACTGCAGCCTCGAACTTCTGGTGGACTCAACCAGTCCTCCCACCTCAGTGTCTCAAGTAGCTGCGAGTACAGACACACACCACTGCTCCTCGTGTGGTGTTTTTTTGTTTTTGTTTTGTTTTGTTTTGTTTTCTGTTGAGACGGAGTCTCCCTTGCAGCCCAGGCTGTAGTGCAGTGGTGCAATCTCGGCGCACTGCAACCTCCGCCTCCCAGTGTCAAGTGATTCTCCTGCCTCAGCCTCCCGAGTAGCTGGGATTACAGTCATGCACCACCACATCTGGCCAATTTTTGTATTTTTAGTAGAGACTGGATGTCACCATGTTGACCAGGCTGGTCTCGAATTCCTGACCTCAAGTGATCCACCCGCCTCAGCCTCCCAGAGTGCTGGGATTACAGGCATGAACCACCGCACCCAGCCAGCTTTTTAATATATTTTTATATGCTTAGACCTTATCACTAGCTGAAAGTCTTTGCTTCTCAGTTTATAGTGTATCTTCTCTATAAGACGTATTCTCCGTGCCTAAAAAAGGGCTGGCATACAATGTTTCTTAAGTACTTGTTGAACGAATGTGACCAAAACTACTACATATGTATGTCATTTCTTCATAAGTAACAACCCATTCTTAAACAATTTAAATATTTGAATTTGCTACACCTTTCGTTTTTGAATAACAGTGATTTTTTTTCCACAGCAGGTTCATTAAAATTATTTAATGAGAGTATGACTGGAAAATAAAGGTAGATTACTTCTAATAGAAAATTCCTTCAAATTATTGTGGTGCACAGCTGTTTTCAGGTTTTTCTCTACTCTTGAGAAATCATATGTGTAAAGTGCTAAGGTATTTTCACTTGATACATGTATTATCAAAATACTTTAACAAAGAGAAAATAATTGTCCAAGCATTTCTGTGTTGCTTCACAGTAAAAGTAATTAACATGATAAGTAGCATATACTGAGCATCATATGTAGCACATTATTCTAAATGCTTCACATGGATTAACTCATTTAGTCTTCATAACCCTATCAATGTGAGTACTGTTGTTATTCCCATTTTTACAGATGAGGAAACTGAAGGTGGAGTTAAATGTCCAAAGTCACACAACTAATAAATATATATTCCTAGTAAATGTATATATTTATTTACTGATGCCTTAACCTTTAAAGATTATAATTACTTTGGTAGTTCTTAGCTCTAGAATTACTTATAATGCACATCTTAAAATGTACATTTGCCAGGGTTCTTAATCAGTGTTCATTGTCTATATCTGTTGTGTACACCAAACTGTTACTACCAAACTGAAGACAGCTTCACACAGGTATATAAAGCAGTAAATATGATCTGTTTCTAACAGAGCATTTCTCTTTAGTTGATGAAACACACCAAGAACTTGATGAAGTCAGTCTACTTACTGCTATCACAGTGTTTATTTTGTCTACCAGTCCAGAAGTAACTACCATCCCATGCCTTCAGAAGCGCTGTATTGATAAATTTAAAGCTACTCTTGAGATAAAAGATCCCATGGTAAGTGTCTTTTAATGGAAAGATGTATGTAATAGGACTATGGCTAGGCTTTTACAAAATTTTCTTTGTGATTTTGTTGGCTCCAATAGGAAATATTAGACTATAAATTTTTTATTTTCAGATTTCAGATTAATTTCTATTTCAGGAATGACAAAGCCAAATAAGTCTTGTTCTTCAGCTCTAAGGGTAGAGGATAGTGGCAGAAGAGGAAATGTTAAGAAACTAAATTCGAGATAGAGGAATCTTAAGATTGATGTAGCACTAGAACTTTGTAAGGGACTTTTATAAGATACTTTGTAGCATATTGTAGTGGATTTTATTTTTAAAAAAAAAGAGAGAAAGGGAGGCCAGGCACTGTGGCTCATGCCTGTAATTCCATCCAGCACTTGGGAGGACGCGGTGGGCAGATTGCTTGAGGCCAGAAGTGCGAGAGCAGCCTGGGCAGCATGGTGAGAAAGCATCTCTACAAAAAAACACAAAAATTAGCCTGGTGTAGGGGCGCAGGCCTGTAGTCCCAGCTGCTCTGGGGGACTGAGGCAGGAGGATCACTCGAGCCTGGGACCTTGAGGCTCCACGATCATGCCACTGCACCCCAGCCTGGATGACACAGCCAGACGCTGTCTCAAAAAAAAAGACTCGAGCACATACCTTCGGTAATATGAATGTGAAATAATAGGACCCATTCCAAAAGCAATACACACAAATTTATCCCATTCCTTTATGTCCCCTTCATTTGCTTGAGTAATCTCCTATTTTTTATGTGCCTCTAGGTGAGTTCATAGCCAGTGATCACACATATATCTACTCCTGAAGATATAGGAACCAGATTTTCTCTCAGAAAAAATAATTATTAAAACACCATTACAGTTAACTCAATAAAAGTTGATTTATATATTTGATGTATAGTCATTTCCTTTTATCCTCTGTCCTGTTGCCTGCTGCCTGCAGCAGCTTTGTATAGCAGTCTCCAAGTCGGGACTCTGATGCCTGATGACACATAATTAATATGGTCCAGACGTGATTCCTTGAAACACTCAGACCATGACATTTGAACATCAAATACATCATTTTTGTCTAAAACATTTTCTGAAATCAACAAAATATCTTTCAAGGTTGTATGTGTTTTGTTGTTTTGGGTGTTTTTTTGTTTTGTTTTGCTTTCTACCCATAAAAATGTTAAAGGAGGAGGCTGGGTGTGGCAGCTCATGTCTGTAATCCCAGCACTTCGGGAGGCCAAGGCAGGTGGATCAGTTGAGGTCAGGAGTTCGAAACCAGCCTGACCAACAAGGTGAAACCCCTTCTCTACAAAAAATACAAAAAATTAGCTGGGTGTGGTGGTGAACGCCTGTAGTCCCAGCTACTCGGGAGGCTGAGACAGGCAAATTGCTTGAACTCAGGAGGCAGAGGCTGCAGTGAGCCGAGATCGCACCACTGCACTCCAGCCTAGGCAATGGATCAAGAGTCCGTCTCAAAAAAAAAAAGTTAAAGGAGGGGGGTTTGGTGGTGTTTTTGTTTTACATTATAAAGACATGAGGGGGAAAAGGAGAATTAGAGAAAAGAAGAAAAATTAACCACTCAGTTTTGCTTCCCTGTTTACCTATATGCTTCTTTCCCATTCCAAACTGTCACAACCACTGTTAGCATAGAAGTTTGATTACCTGGCCAGGCGCGGTGGCTCAAGCCTGTAATCCCAGCACTTTGGGAGGCCAAGACGGGCGGATCACGAGGTCAGGAGATCGAGACCATCCTGGCTAACCCGGTGAAACCCGTCTCTACTAAAAAATACAAAAAACTAGCCGGGCGAGGTGGCGGGCGCCTGTAGTCCCAGCTACTCGGGAGGCTGAGGCAGGAGAATGGTGTGTACCCGGGAGGCGGAGCTTGCAGTGAGCCGAGATCCGGCCACTGGACTCCAGCCTGGGCGACAGAGTGAGACTCCGTCTCAAAAAAAAAAAAGAGGTTTGATTACCTGTTGGCCCTTGGACTTTCAAAATTAAAGATAAATTAGAAATAAATTTAAATACCTTTGCTACTTTAAAAAGCAAAGAGTCGTCAGGGACTTTTTAAAATTTTATTTATAGTATTTGCTGTTCTTTTCTATTACCCGATTAGGTGCAAATCAAGACCTACCAGCTCCTACATTCCATCTTTCAGTATCCAAATCCAGCTGTTTCCTACCCGTACATTTACTCTTTAGCATCCTGTATCATGGAAAAACTACAGGAAATAGACAAGAGAAAACCTGAAAACACTGCTGAGCTTCAGATCTTCCAAGAAGGCATAAAGGTCTTAGAAACACTGGTTACTGTTGCTGAAGAACACCATCGTAAGTGTCAGCACTAAATTCATACTAACTCAGTCTCTACAAAAGTCAGAACTTTACTGTTATTTAAATTGCAAAACATTCAGTCACATCGTATCTGTATTTCACATTCATTGAAAGGTGTCATGTTAATCCCAAGTATTGATATAATTATGAATTTAGAAGAGATTGGATAAATTGTTTTCTCTAGTGGGGAAAAATGTATACAGATCAGGGGCATTTGCAGCCTTATGTTAGGAACATTTAAGTCCCTGAACTTATATCATTTGTTTACTTTCTAGGCTCTCAGCTGGTGGCCTGTCTTTTGCCCATCCTCATTTCCTTCCTTTTGGATGAAAATGCTCTGGGATCAGCAACTTCCATAATGAGAAATTTACATGACTTTGCTCTACAAAATCTCATGCAGATTGGACCTCAGTATTCATCTGTTTTTAAAAGTTTAGTGGCTTCTTCTCCAGCCCTAAAAGCCCGCCTTGAGGCTGCTATAAAGGGCAATCAGGAAAGTGTCAAAGTCAAGATACCAACGTCTAAATATACTAAGAGTCCTGGAAAAAACTCAAGCATCCAATTAAAGACCAGTTTCCTCTGATGTTATTATTATTATTATTATTATTTGGAATAGTAAGCACCTTAATATAATACTTGATCATTTCCTTTGGGGACAAAAGGGACATTTTAGACACAAGTGTCCTTGGAGGTCTAGTTGATTGTTTTACCTTAAACAGCTGTGACTCTTCAAAGTAACAGCATACTTACCATTTTTTTGTGTGTGCGTGGGTTTTGTGGGTTGGTTGGTTGGTTGGTTTTTTCTATTTAAAAAGACAACGGAGCTAACTTACCAGGAATTTTAAGAAAGTGCTAAAGAAACTTAAACTTTCTAAACAAATCTACTGCTTTAAAATGAAATGGATTTCTTCTAACAGTCCGTACACATGCGGTATACTTAATACTGTGACAGATACAAATATGACTCTAGTGTAAATTATCTGCACTAATATTTATCCAGTTGCTGATTTAAAATCTGCCTGGCCAGGTATGGTGGCTCACCCCTGTAATTCCAGCACTTTGGGAGGCCAAGGCAGTTGGATCACGAGTCAGGATTCGAGACCACACCCTGACCAACATGGTGAAACCAAATGTACTACTAAAAGTACAAAAATTAGCTGGGGTATGGTGGCACGCACACTGTAATCCCAGCTACTCAGGAAGGCTGAAGCAGGAGAAATTGCTTGAACCTGGGAGACAGAGTTGCAGTGAGCCGAGATTGTGCCACTGCACTCCACCCTGGGCAACAGAGTGAGACTCCATCTCAAAAAAAAAAAAAAAAATTCTGCCTTATTCAGTAATTGTATTAAACTTTCTCCGATTTCTCTAAGAAGATAAAATGATTGGAGGACTATTTAGGAAACCTGGTCTAGGATTATCCAGTATACAATAATACAGATTACTTACAGCCTTACAGTGTGACATAAGATTTGGTATCTATATCATGGTTTTTCACCATCTTTTGGTTTAGTTTATATTGGGTTCAGAAAATGGAAGTTTTACTCATTTTAAATAGAATAAGGCATCTCCACTATTTTTCAAATGGATTTTTCCGTTTACCTTTGTTCTTACTAATTGTGTTCATTTTCATTTGTGGCAAACATTTGTATCAATGAGTTTTAATATAGGTTCATATCTATATTGTATTTAGATCAACTATGGGTTTATATAAATGCCAAATTTAGTACAGCAAATTTAGGTCATCAGGTGAATACAAGTATTTTTTTTAACATGAAACATATTTTATTATAGAAAAAAGATTAATGATAAAGTCATATTGGTTGAAAAATATTTTTTAACTCTGTTCATGATTGTTGATTCTCCTTCTACTTCAGTGTTATACTGTGTGAATCAAGCGCTGTGTCAAAACAGAGCATTTCCCTGTTAAAAATTACAAACCGAAGTGATAGAGGCATGTCAGAATTGAGAAAACATTTTGAAGCAAGAGCAATGTGATGTACCTATTTTATTATGTTTGTATATAAATACTATTGTAAACTGTTCAGAGTGAAAACATTTGACAAACTCTAACACTACAATCATTTTTTCTAAATTACATAAATAAAGCTAATTTTCATTATCATTCTTGTATTTTTAAATTATTTTACCAACAAAAGATGGCAGGTTGGTTTCTCTCACACGGAATCCAGAAAATCAGCCTTTTTTCTCAGAAGAGCCCTTTCTTTGGAGCATTATTTGTGATGGTTTAGATTTTCTGTCTCTTCCTGAGTGTCTCTAGGCATCGAGTGTATTTCTTATTGTTCCCTTTACCTAAAATGTGCTTTTCTCTCCTCTCTTCTGTCTGGTGATTGCCCATTCCTTATAGGCCTGGCTTAAATGTCACCTTTCCTTGGTAACTCTCCTTAACACTTCTTAACTTCCTCTTACACCAATTTAACTCTTTCCTTATCTGTGTTTCCATAGTGCTTAATACATTCTTGTATGCATAAAAAATCACACTGCAATTTGTGGTTTGTTTGTTTGTTTTAAGCCAAGGTCTTGTTCTGTTGCCCAGGCTGGAATGCAATGGTGTGAACACAGCTCAGTGCAGCCTTGACCTACTAGGCTCAAGTGATCCTCTTTGCCTCAGCCCCCGCAAGTAGCAGGAACTGCAGATGTGCACTTCCAAGCCTAATTTAAATATTTTTTTGTAGATATGAGGTCTCACTATGTTGCCCAGTCTGGTCTCAAACTCCTTAGCTCAAGCTGTCCTCCCACCTTGGCCTCCCAAAGTGCTAGGATTACAGGTGTGAGCCACCACACCAAGCCCACATTGCATTTTAATATTATCTTGTCTCCCTCTTAGACTGTACCTCTTCAAAGGGAGAAATTATGTCTTTTATAACTTGCTCACTTAATAGCTATTGAATTGCACTGGTACAGGATGGATCAGGACTTGTAACTTCTTTGCCAAGGTAAATGCTGAACTAGGTTGTTCTCAGGATGTAACTAATCAATTTGACTTAGGGATTTCTAAAAAGTGTTTTGTCTGTTTTCGCTGTTTCATTTAGTTTGCTCTTACTAAGACGTTAAGATTTCTACTCCTTTAGTAGCCTAGTATCCTGAATTACTTGGATTAAAGGTGCTTATATGAATGTCAGTAATTAGTAAAAAAAAAACTCTTATGTCCAGTGTAATGGAATTAGGAAATCTGAGCTATTCTTAAATGTATTGCCTTAAATCGCCTTATTTAATACAACACTGAACTATTAAATGTATCCTTACCGATAATGAAATTAAGGCTTAACAGCTGGGATTTGAACCCATCTTTCTGATCCCAAGCATTCATGCTGGAGACAGAAAAACTGGCAATCCCGATTCCATCAAGGTATAGCTTTTCTCCTCTTTCAGCACTCCAGGCTCCCTCAGGAGCCTTCCTCGGTCTTTGTTAAAGATATTTTCAATTACATTTCTCCAAATTACAACTAAAAAATTTCTGGCTAATACAGTAGGAAAAAGTATTTTTAAAATTATCTTCTACAGTTTCTTTTTTTTTTTTTTTTTTTTTGGAGATGGAGTTTTGCTCTTGTTGCCCAGGCTAGAGTGCAGTGGCACGGTCTTGGCTCACTGCAACCTCCATCTCCCGGGTTCAAGTGATTCTCCTGCCTCAGCCTTCCCAAGTAGCTGGGATTACCAGCATGTGCCACCACATCTGGCTAATTTTGTATTTTTAGTAGAGGCAGGGTTTGTCCATGTTGGTCAGGCTGGTTTCGAACTCCTGACCTCAGGTGATCTGCCCGCCTCAGCCTCCCAAAGTGCTGGGATTACAGGCATGAGCCACTGCACCTGGCCCATCCTCTACAGTTTCTATGGGGATAGATTATATGCTTAGATTATTAATGAGTCTAGTTGTAATAAAGCAGTTGCATATTAACTAGCTTGGTAACTTTACAAATTAAAAATGTTGATTAGTAACTTGGATGAAACCATCAAAATGGTATAATATTTGTCTTGAGCTTTATTTTTTTCTAAGAGGAGAAATACAGACAAAGCTACTAGTTAAGTTGTTCTATTTAGCCCATTGCTTAAAAGCTTATGTAAAATAACACTGGATATAACAGATTTCTGTTAATAAAATATTGAGTCTAAATTTTACTTCTATAAAACAAACTTCACTGTCAACTTAAGGGAACATGAAGGCCCTTGAAAAGATATAAGTAACTACTATAAAAGAGGTATGATGGTGAGGTTTGGGCTTAAAATTTATTTTAAAAAAGTTGGCCAGGCACAGTGGCTCATGCCGGTAATCCCAGCACTTTGGGAGGCTGAGGTGGGCTCCCATGGAGATCATGAGGTCAGGAGAGCAAGACCATCCTGGCTAACACGGTGAAACCCCATCTTTACTAAAAATTAGGTGGGCATGGTGGCAGGTGCCTGTGATCCCAGCTACTTGGGAGGCTGAGGTAGGAGAATTGCTTGAACCCGGAGGTGGAGGTTGCATTGAGCCAAGATCGCGCCATTGCACTCCAGCCTGGGTGACAGAGCGAGACTGTCTCAAAAAAAACAAAAAAAAAGTTATGAATATAGCGCTATGGGAGCCCAGAGAAGAAAACTGGAGCTTCCAAGATCAACTTTATGGAAAGCATCTTACGATACAGGCCTAGAGAATAGCACTTGATGGAATAGATACATAACCCAAGAGTCCTTTTTTTAACCAATATTTAAAACTGTCTAATTATATATATCATATATAATCCCAAAATTATGATCTATTAGATAAAGTGTTGAAATGTATTCGTAACTACAGAAGTATGTACCACATATTTCCCCAAAACTTTTGTTTTGTTTTTTGTTTGTTTTCTGAGATGGAGTCTTGCTCTGTCGCCCAGGCTGGAGTGCAATGGCATGATCTCTGCTCACTTCAACCTCCGCCTCTCAGGTTCAAGCAATTCTCCTTCTACAGCCTCCCAAGTGGCTAGGATTACAGGCATGCCCCACCTTGCCTGGCCAATTTGTGTAATTTTTCTTTTAAATAGAGATGGTGTTTCACCACGTTGGCCAGGCTGGTCTCAAACCCCTGAGCTTAAGTGATCTGCTGGCCATGGCCTCCCAAAGTGCTAAAATTACAGGGTTAAGCCACCACACCCAGCCTGGGCTACTTTGTATGGTATTAGGAATAAAAAAGAGAGAACAGAAACAGTTTCACCCCAGTGGAACAAGAAAGGGAAGATGCTGGCTTTTTGTATTTGGGGGTTTTTTGTTTTTGTTCAAAGAGGCAGCCTGTTTCTTTCATGAACCATATTCTGTTTCTTTCGTGCTTCAGAAGTAATCAGTTATGGCCTGCAGCACTGGACAAATCAATGGTATAAGCATACATCTCAGATGTGATAACTTCAGAATCCAAGAGAAGAATCATCCCAAGGGCTGGACATAGTGGCTCACACTTGTAATCCCAGCAACTTGGGAGGCCAAGGCAAAAGGTTCTCTTGAGCTGAGGAGTTTGAAGTTACAGTAGGCTATAATTGTGCCATTGCACTGCAGCCTGAGCTACCAACTGAGATCCTACCTTAAAAACATACATAATTTTTTAAAAGAATCATTCTAAGCCCAAGTCATATCCTCCATGTTGACATATACCATATTTTCTGTGATCTGTATTCCAGTAATAGGGAGTAGGGTCAATCCCTTCCTTTTTATAACCTGCAGGCATTTCTTCATTATCCCAGATATGCAGTGAGCCTCCCACAATCTCACCAACATTCAGCATCAACACACTGACAGATTCAGTAAGACAGGAATGCTCAGGATGTCACTGCATATAGAAGGACTTGATCGCAGGAAATCAGCACAGCAAGATTGGTTCATTAATGGTGTTGTCATCAGCCTCAGGAGCTTTGGGGATGTTTTTCTCCAAATTCCTAGGAAGTTCCATATCTTTTCTTTATATTGCATTTTAGCCACACCATAGCATCTGTTTAAAAGGCCGTTTGGTGGGCTTAAAGTTTGGGTTCAGGTTATATACTTATCGCCAGTGACTTCAAGACTACTACATTACAAACCAAGCCCTCCAATCAGTTCAGGAGGTCCTCAAAAGTCAGGAAAGGGCACCCAGCTTCCACATGAGTGTATTCAGCCAAGTGCCTTCAAATTCTGGATGCTCTGCCCTGTATGACTGTGCGACACAAAAAAACATCTGGGGCTGGAATGCCTGTCTCCTGGTACAACTAAGAGAACTTAGTCAAAAATGCCTCTTCCTTGGGCTGGGCACTGTGGCTCACTCCTGTAATCCAAGCACTTTGGGAGGCCAAAGCAGGTGGATTGCTTGAGCCCAGGAGTTTGAGACTGGTAACAACAGGAGGCAGAGAAACTCTAGGCAGACAATAGCAGGTCCCTGATGAAGCCGCACCTCAAGCTGAAAAGCCTGAGACTGCAGCCCAAAGAAAGAACTTCTATCCCGTTTTCCCACTCAAATGTTGCCTTTTCCTAAACCACCCATGGCCCACCCCACATCCTATGCCTATAAATACCCCAGACTCGGTTAGCAGAGAGGAGAAGCAGCTGGACGTAGGAGACTACAGCTGGGCATCAGAGAGAAGTGGCTTAACTTTGGAGTAACAGCTTGGTGGCGTAACTTTGGAAAAGAATCCAGCCAAAGACAGCTGGACTTCAGGGGAAAATTACCTACCCCCATCCCTTTTTATCTCCCCTTCCCACTGAGAGCCACTTCATCAGCAATAAAATCCCCCGAACTTACCATCCTTCAATTTGTACGACCTCATTTTTCCTGGATGCTGGACAAGAGCTCGGGAGCCACAAGTGCAAAAACAAAAGGGCCCCCTGAGCTGTTAACACCTGAGCTGTCCACGGACAGCAGAGCTACAAGAGCACTGTAACTTGCCCTCTGGGGCTTCAGGGGTTGTGGGCACCACCTCCCCAGTCGCTGCCATGGGGCCTCAAAAGCACTCACCTCAGCTCCTGCACCTGCTTACCTGCGCACACTCACATGGGGTGGAACGCAGCAGGTCCAAGTGAGTCGAGTTTGCCCCTGCCGGCACCAAAGTGGACAGCTGGTTCCAGCACTCGTGCACTCCAGTTCCCACCTTGTTCACTCACATGCTCCCTTCCACAAGGAGTCGAGAGCTA